TTTCTAGCCCAACTCTTTACTTCAGCTAAGCAGATATGCTTATTTTTCCCAAAATAAGGACACTTTCAATACTGCTTCTAACTTTTACAAATACTATATTCTCCCCCCAAAATACTAACCAAATTCCTTTTTCTCTAAATAATTACACCATTAATATTTTCTTTCAGTGTTCTCTAAAATCGTATACACTCATATTTTTAAATACCTATACTTCAATGATTGTTTTTACTTATTTTACATGTAATCCAATTGCACTCCCTTTAGAGTACAACCTACTTAGTAACTAAGACTAAGTCTTCAAATTTCTTATGTACAATTTTTTGCAGTAAATCTTCACTTAGAGGTATCTGTTGTGATGGCTTTTCATTTAAACTATTTATAGTTGTTCATTTATCTACAAGATAGTATGTTCTCAGGATTTCATTATATATATTGAAACATAAATGAGACAGAATCAAGAGTGAAGTTTCATACCCCTTCACCAGCAAATTACGTATTGGTTAACTCTGGTGGTCACTCAGCCCAAGAACACAAAGCTGGGATGCTAAGATAAATTAGTCAGAATCCCAGAACTAATGGATATGCTTGAAAGGCAGATTTAATCTAATAATTTTACATGTAAAAGAAAAACAACAACAATAATATTAATAAATGTAAAGCATAAAAGGAAAGACATATGGCTTAATTGCAGCATAGAATTTTTTTAAAGACTTTGGGATACTAATTGATCTAAGATCTACTTGAGTCAGCTATGATGGTGGAAGAACTAAAATTCAGAACATATGGGTGAAGAAACTGGTAAGGTACAGTATAAAAGAGAGACGATTGATTGATGGCAAGCGTCACATGGAAGGGGAGTTTGTACTGTTTTGGATGACTCCCAGTCATGGATAAAGAATTGGTGGAAACTTCAATGAATCCATTTTAGGACATTACATAGAAGAACTGAGTAAAAGTCAGGTATAATTCTGCTTCTGAATTTAGCTCCTATATTCTACGACTTTCTTTAAAAAACCCTGAAAACAATCAGAAAACTCTGAGCACAATCAGAAAACTCTGAGCATGAGCAAGCATGTAATAGCGGTGTTTTTTAAGCATTCTTAATTGGTTGGCCTAAATAAGCTTTCACATTCCTATACCTTATTATATGACATAATACAGCAATTTATCGAGGTAATTTCCTGTGAAGTAGGTTGCAATCAAGTCAAGAAAGTTATAAAGTAACAGATGCATAAATAGGAAATATGATATTTAGTAGATATAAAATTATTATATGTAATTGCATTAAAGTAATAGTTAACGTGTGTGTTTATGACTTAGGAGATGCTATTAGACTTTTAAATTAAGTTTTACATTAAATTTTAAAAAGTATGTTTTTAAAAAATCAGATTTTGAAAAGAAGCCACAAAAAGGCCAATTTTATATAAAATTTAAGCAAATGGCAAAAAAAAATTGCACCACAATGAAAACGTAATGTAAACAAAAGCCTACCTTAAAGTGAACATTTGCATAAGGGAGGCAAGCAGCATCACTAAACTCCTTATTATGTCAATACTCATCTGACTATCAGAGACAAAATACTAAGACAGAAAGGCTAAAACAAATGAAAATGTATCCAATAAAAAAAAAACTGTTTTGAAGCTACAAACTGAAGGAATATTCTTTATTGGACTTGTTCAGTGCTTTGAATTTAATCAACTAGAATCATTTTTAAGTATTGTTTCCTGCAAACTTTTAAAATGATAGATTTGGTTTTTCGATGAGGAATCTTCATTTTATCAGATGAATGAAATACAGTGTCCTTGGCCGAGATATTCTTCACAGAAGTAGGCTATTTCTATACTCTATACTTAGCAAATTTAAAGACTCACATTGTAGGTGAGTACATTCGAATTTTATTTGTGGATAAGGCTCTATTAGTTCAATATTCCACCTCCCTCTTGACAGATCCATCTTAATATTCCCCTAAGGAACCAATTATGAACAATTTCTGGAGAGTCTATCACAGGTAACTTTATGTTCACTGATTCTCTTTTATGTCAGGTAAACTGGCAGTTGTTATGGCCAAAGGACAAGTGTGATACAAATGATGTGATAGAAGATTGAAAAGAATGTAAAAGAACATAACAACTAAATTCTAACTGGTTAAAAAAATAATAAAATAAAACGTAAATACCTCCAAGCTATACATAAAATATACTATATATAAAAAATTGTTAAAAAATTGGGGCATTTAAAAAATGTGATTATAAAGTCATCAAAATTAACTACAGAAATGAAGGTACAATAGTTCAGTCACTTAGTGCTTTTGATGTTAACTATGCTAGATTAACTTCTAATATAAGAAATGGTGATAATAAATTGACTAGGGAATGGTTGATTTGGAAAGGAGAGGTAAAGGTCACTGGAGGTCCCAGAAATTTCTAAGTTCCAAATTACCAATATCCAGACAAACTTGCTTCCTTGCTGAATATGCTTAGATGGCAGAGACAACATTGATATGTGGTCTTAGCTGCTATTTGACAGGGAACTGTCACCAGTAGATGACCCCATCAGTCTGGGAGCAGGAAAATTACTAAATGATCCAAGAAAGCGCCTGTAGGCCAGTACACAATGGGTCCCTGAGAAGCAGGAGGGCAAAGCCTCAGAACAAAATAAATTTGCAGTTGGAGTTTACTCAAAGGAGCTTACACAAAATATCTTTTCAGATAGAAGAAAATAAAAGCAATTTAGTTTTCATGGATGTTATGTCTGATAAGAGAAGTAACTAGTTTCCTTTGAGAAGAAACCAGATATTATATATAAATGGCAAGGTGAATGATGTAGCCTCTTGTCAATAAAATAAACACCAAAGTTAGCTATGATGCTATTGTATGAACACATTCCAGTCTGGAATCAATTATTATTATACTATAGAGACATTATCTCTGCCATAAAACACCAATCAAAAGGAAAAAAAAACCATAATAATCCAAATTAACACATGGGTGAAACTGTAATATGAGTCCTTCCTCAACAAGATTAGCAAACAGAAGTCCAATTAATTTTCCAAAATCATAATTCTAGTTTTCAGAAAGCACCCAGTATGAGCAATTATTTTCAGCGATGTGATGCAATTGGAAAACATATTGAAGAGGGGTCTTCTACTCACCTCTTTCCCCAAAATAAAATTATCTTATAATAAAGTATAGAAAATAAAAGTACTGTATAAAAATGATGAAGTATTACTTCTTTCTGAAGGAAGAACATATACTTCTAGTGTCAATTATCCAGTTCAACAGGGGAAAATTATTAAATATTTAAATAAATCACATTCAATCTATAATTGCCATTCTCTTTGGAAAGATCCATCCAGTGCTGATATTCAATACATTTTTAACTTGTGCTTTCAGGATGTTCCATCTAAGCATGAGAGGAAACCATATTAAACATTTAAAATGTAGGAAAGATGAATGTTTAAGGTTAAACACTAAAATGTAAGGAATTAACATCTGAACTTAATTTTGTGTCTTAAAATAGTAATGAGTTTTGTTCAAAAAGTAGGCAGTTCGGGATTAAAAATTAAGATTCAGAAACCCGAGTCAGTTGTTGGAAGTCACAACATCACAACAGAAAGTTTTCCAAATACAAAGTCTGAAAACATAATGTGTAATTCTACATTGTTTTTGTTTGTTCTGAATTTATTTAATTTATTTCCTTTTAAATTAAAGCATCTATTTTCATTAAAAATAACCATGTAGCCACTTCAGTAAGAATGCTTCTTAATTTCTATAATCAGACTTCACACCACTAACTGAATATTGTAGAAATATTAAAAGAATATAAAGCCATGTTTATGGCCTTTTTTAAAAATAATATGATTTTAAGAAATATGAATGCAGCAATACCATCAAGATTCTCTTCTATATGCCAGCAAATAAAAGTGAATCATCCTAGATATTAATCTATAACCAGGGCCTCAGTTTCTTCATAAACCTATTGAAGGAATTAAGATGATGAATTAAGTAAATGAACTCAAAATCTCATTTTATCCAAAACTCTATATAGTCTAAGGTGAAGGGGATAAAGAAAATTTTTGTATAAGAAATTCATTGAGAATTCACATGTACAACTCTCCGGAAAAATCAAATCTTTTAACTGTAAGTAAATGTATTTCATTTTAAAAAGCCATTTTAAACCTGATATCTGATATCTTTTATTAGCAATTTATAAGTGGTCTAACTTTAAATTCTAATGTACATATTCATTGTGTAAGAAGAAAAAGATCAGACACTAAACTTAAATTCAAGAGGTCATCAGTGCTATTTCATATAAAACAAGATAGTTCTTAGGGGACTAAGCGAATCTAGACAATTTTAGCATATGAAGTAAAAAGAAAATAAATGGTTTATATTATTTACTTTTCCTTTGTAACTAAGGTACTCCCGAATTTTAAAATACGTGTTTCCAATATGCTGAGGGAGATGGCTGCATTAATCCTATGTTCACAGGGAAGTTTTGTATGTGTAATAAGGGGTACAAGAGGACAAAGAAAACACCTTCCTCTGTTAGAGACAAGATAAAGCCTCCAAGCCCAATTTGTGAGAAAGTGACTTTTTTTGCTAATCACTCACATTGGATTAGCTAATTAAGCCTAGAAAATCATAGCCAGTCACTAAGGGGCATATAACACCTTGAACAATAAGCCTTCCAAACACAAACTCAGCCTGTGAGGGCAAACAAACATCTAAGTCAAATCTACAGCTGGACACTTTGCATGGAGAGTTTGATACACTTTCAGCAGCTACTACCCCCAGAAACACCATGGTATATAGTTTCCTACCCTATAATCATAAGTGAATGATGATCAAAGGCAATGCCTGGGTGGGTGTGTACTGAGAAAGGTAATGTCTGTTCCCCACAGTGCCAGAAATCAACAGGAATGGTACTACGATCCCAGAAGCACATCATGCAATGCCCTGGCTTTCTCAGTATCTTTCTTTCCCAAAGATAATGCCTACCTTCCGTGTGGACTGCAGAGACATACGTCCAATTGTAACGCTTGACTATGTCAAGCATCGCCCTTGCCTGCAAAGTGTCAGAAGGGACAACCCTCAGGAAGTATTTGTACAAAGTTTTGTCACTCAGGTCGATGCTTGTAGCTGAATAAGCGATCTGGGGGATGTCGAAGAGCTGGAGCAGGTTCTGCACTTGAATCGCTACGGAGCTGGAGCCGGGACCGATAACACCGGCGATGGGCTTCTTAGTCCTGCCTGGAGGGAGGGACTGGCCATCAGGCAGGCACCGGTTGAGCCCATCCTTTTCATCTCGAATGGAAATCAGAGAGTCCCTGATGAACTCAATGCTCTGTTCCAGAGCCACAGAAGAGTGCCAGCAGGAGTCCCGGATCTCACTGCCCAGAGTGATGTTGGGCAGGAGGACCGGGTCCGCGTTGATCTTATCCAACGTGTGGAACATGGCCTCCACCCTCTGGATGCCATACTGCTCCCTGATCTCCCCACACTTCCTCTCGGGCACCTTCTCAGCCGGTGGCTGGTGGTGGACTGAGAAGAGAGCCCCAATGATGACATCTCCGTCCATCCTGGCTACCGATCGCTGAGACGAGGCTCCGGCCAGCAACGCTTTCCTGCCGGGGCTTCTGGGGAGAAGGGACATCTCCAAAAAGATTGCCGGGAAGAAAACCAAGAGGAGCCGGATCATTGTGGTGAGGACGCGGTCCACAGCCTGCCAGCCGAGTTCCCACGCTGGTCCCGCCTGCAGGCTGTGGGCGCTCACCACCAAGACGCCCGACGCTGCCTCTCGCGGCTCGGTCCCCTCGCCAGCACTGCTAGTCCAGCGCCTTCGCCGCCTCCACCTCCGGCTCCCTCCCTGTCGCCGCCTCCTCCTGGTCCTCCACGACCGCCTCCACACACTGGAGGTGTTTTTTAGGGGAATTCAAATCCCGGTTCTTCACCGGTGCATCAAGGTAAATTGATCAAGAGTACAATAGGCGTCGTGTTGGCAGCGGTGAGCTGGACGCTGCTAACAAAAGACACAGAGAAAATTAAAGCTCTGTCACCAGAGGACCTGTGTTAAAACTCTGGGGTCAGTGATGTTAATAGTTGTCCCGTCCATTTCGTTTCAGCAAGCACATCCTGGTACCGGCTGCAGGGGTGGCTTGGGAGGCAGCTCTAGACAACAAGGAAGGCGGTGTGTCTATCCCCTGAGTCCTCAGCGGTCCGGGGCAGCGCAGAGCTCCAGGGACCTGCCCGCTCCTCCAGCCTCAAGTCAATTCCTGGTCCCCAAATACCTATTGTGCTTTCTGACTTAGTGGGCTGCAGGCCAAGGGAGACGAGAGGAGGGGAGGAGCTAGGTCATTCAACCCAAGAGAACTTTCCGAATTTGAAAAGATCAACTTTTTCCCAGGAGAAAATTTGGAAACTCGTTTAAAGGTGGAAGTTCTACTTTAAAATAAACGTGAACAAGGGGTGCACCTTTTACTTTAACTTTGAGGGGTTGAAGAGACACTGACATACAATCCAAGCAGTAAATATACATTTGCTAGCTTGAGGAAAATCCACATTAGTTACTAAGGCAACGACTAAAGTCTCCGTATGTAGGAGTTTGGTATGTTTCCCCCCTAAGAAGTCAGGCTTACTGTAGATGTTCAAGGAGAAGGGGTGCAGACAAGGTAACTTGTTTCCCGCGATGGGGGAGGGGATTGGAGGGGCTCCTGAACTCGCCTAAATCCGGACCTTTTGGCTTTGCCTAGTTGCTACCAAGGAAACGCAGGGGAGCTTCCCAGTTGCTCTCCCCAGGCAGCCTGAGCCTTGCCGCCTTCAGGACCCTGGACAGTACTGGGTCCAGCCACGGAGACATTCCCCCACGGGGCCTGTAAGGGACGCTTTGAACAGTGAATGGCAATTCCTTGACCCTTCTTTGCTCTTTCAATCTCCCTCCTCCGCGATCTTTACACACACACACACACACACACACACACACACACACGAGCGCGCGCGCACACACACACCCCTCCCCTCGCTTTTCCACCATCCCTCCACCCTCATTCTCTTCGCCTGGCACAGCTTCTGCAAATACATACTCAAACCCAACCGCTTCGGGTACAGAGGCGCCAAATCTCAGCCGCCTGCGGGGCTGAAGTTGGCTCCCTGTCTCGTTCCTTCTCGGCTCCCTTTTTCAAGGTGAGAGTCGGACGAAAAAGGGGCTATGGGAGCGGGTGGGGAGAGCAGAGGAGGTGAAGCAGGCAAAAGGAGGAACACAACCCAGGCACCCGTGGGTCCCAACGCTTCCCGGGGATGCAGGATTAAAAGCAATAAGCGAGGAGGCGCCTGGGACCGGGAGAGAAATTTGATAGATTGGGACTTTGGCTGCCGTTGTGGGTGGGTTTCACCGCGAGGAAGTGTGCGCTCACCTGAGTTTGTTTGGAGGCTATGGACTTGAGACGTACCTGAGTCGTGGTAGGTAGCTCTATGGTCCCGGGGCCACAGGACCACAGCCGCACTGGGTTTGCAGACGCCTCAGCTCTAATCCAGACGGTGTGAGGATGCGATCTGGGCTGTACACTAGTGCCCTCTTTCTTCAGCACTATTTTACCGCAAGGGAAAAAAGAGGGGGAGGGAAGGAAGGAAAAAAAAAAAAAAAACAGGTCACCCAAGGCTTGTCTATTATCTCATGCATAAAAATCAGTCATTTGATAAAGGGAAGAAGTGGGGAAAGCTAGGGAGAAGTGGGAAAATTTAATTTCTTTACTACCATAGAAGTCTTAAACAAGCCGCCAGATACGCGAATAGTCAGATCTGGCCAAAAGAGTGGGGGGAACCGCCTAGGCTGGTTTTGGGTGCGTATGTTTGTATATTTCTCAGAGACTTAAATATATTTCCTCCCTCTGGAAGTAAAATTCCTACAGGGGGAAACAGAGTGTAAATACATGTGTAGACATCTAAGGGAAGGCTCTATTAGTAGGTTGCAAGTGAAAGGGGGACAAGGCTGCATTGGGTGGGAATAGGGGAATAAGGCCTTGCATATCATGAACTAAGATAAACCAAGTGAAGACCAGGCAAACCATGGCTGCATTTTCAGGTCAAGATGTAACTAAATTGAGAATGGAAGTCAGGTCACATGAAAACACTGGAGTGAAAAACACTTATCCACATTCCTCCCAGGCTGCCATCACCTTCCCGACAGGTCTATGGTGTTGCTTCTTACTGTGTGAAAAGTAGAAGTTAAATCACATTCCTCTGGGAACATGTTGGCTGAGCAGAATGTGTCCTGGCTTTTTCAGAGGGAAAAGACAAGTGACACTTTGTCTTTCCACTCTTGTTCAAAGCTTTCTATTTGGGTCATATGCAGAGCAGAGTTTATGTGAGTCCCTCATGGGTCAGTTTATAATCACCTTGCTCATGTCATTGATATACTGTGGAATGGTACCATGTCAGGCCAGATGGGACAAACCACATAAGGCAGTTTCAAATACTTTCAGTGTGTTCCATGAAACTCCAGAGAAGAAACAATGCCTCCAGTCGCAAGAACAAAAGGTTTTTCTTTTTCTGGTTCTTGTCTTTTTTCCCAAGTGTCAGATTTTTCATAGACAATCTAAAGAGGATAATTTTTTTTTCTTTTTCCACAAATAGTTCAGTCCAGTGCACTGAACCAAGTACACATGCTTTAGACTAAAAAATCTCAGTTCAGGAAGCAGCCACATGTTTATTCAAGGAAAATAGAAAAAGTAAATGCCTATCTTCACATATAGAACTAAATAATTTTCTGTCTCTGCCCTAAGAAGATGTCTGTTGTAAGAAGAGCAAGCCACAGGTATTCACAGTGTCTCACTTCCTCTAATAGCCGTTTAACTTCAATTTTAGATAATGTCATTCTAGTGTGATAAGCCCTAAACATGATTTTCCTGGAATACTTTATAGATACAGTGAATATGCAAAAATTTTTGTGCATATTTAAACCATTAATTATGATTTCCAGGATTAGAGAACAAATCCACATTTGGCTTTAAAATATGTTCCTCAAAGGTGATTGTTTTTAATATGTCACATTGCTGTACTGAAGGAAAAATTAAATGTTCAGATTTATTTGTTCTCAAATTCATTTTAAAGTCCACATTCAGGTTGGTTGAAATAACTCACTTTAAAGAGAATAAGTTTGGGGATCATAACATAGCAAGTCTATACACATGCATAAATTATGTGTTAGAAGTGTTAAAGAAAAAACTAATTTTAAATGTATCAATTTGAAATTTTAATCAAATTTACTGATAATCTTTTAAGAGTGAACTTTAGAAGCCACAAGAGCAAAAATAAGAAAAGAAGAAGACATTGAGACAGGAGAACCCAAGATCACCCAAATATACTTTCTAGAAATAAAGGCTTCTCTATGGGAGGCAGTATAATACATGTGCAGATATCCAAGGGATGGTTCTATTAGTAGGATTAAGAAGAGTTACTAAAAGAATGAGCTACATGCAAATTAACAAATAAAGGTCAATACACTATAAGTGTTCAAAGAATGCTAAAGGTATGTGAATTCAGAAGTATTATTAGTATGAATATTTACTCAGTACTGGTATGAAATCTCATTACACTCAGTTTGTGATTTGTAGCAGGGTAAAAAGTGTTATCAGGTTTTTTTGGCTTGGGAAGTCTAAAATAAAATGTAGTGGAGATGGAACAAAAATATCTGACCTATTATCTCAGACAATGACTTAATGTGCTGCTGTAACAAAAAGAATAACAGAATGCTTATCTCCCTTATATGATAATAAAGTAAATATTACCCATAAACAAAATTGTGATCACTCTCCTTATGAACTTATGCATAATTCTCATTGCTTTCTGTCATAAAGAACATTATAGAAGAAAGAGTCTAGGTTATCAATGAGCAAAAGGATGTAAAATTTTCCACATAAAATCAGTTGAAAATTCAAACTTTTCAAGTGAGAAAGATAAGAAGTGAGCAAGAAAGAAATGGATGAGTTATGGATATATTTCAAATTACAATGTAGTCTGGTGGGTATTTTGAAAAGTAAAGTTTATACAGTCATTGGAATATGGAAATGAAGAATACATAAATGGTAATAAGTTCATTGGTAAAGGAATAGTACTAACTAAAAATAAAAATGACATTAAAAAGTCTTTGTAGAAAGTTTATTTGTGAAAAATAGATATGTAATATATCACTAAGGGAATATAATGGAGGTTCAAGATAGATCAATTTTGTGGTGAGCAAAAATGCTTTTCCATAAACTACCATGCTCCGTGGACAATTGACTTAATCTAGTATGACGTTTCTTACATTCTTACATTTAATTCATGGATTCAGCAAGATAATTCAAGCCCCAGTGAGAATTTTCAGTTTATTTATCCAATTTGGCTATCTATATTGCTTAAATCAAAAAAGAAATTGCCATATCTTCATTGAACTTTATGCACTGAACAAGAGTCAACAAGAATTAGAAAATAAAACCTCTTAGTTTAAGCAACTCAAAACATTTTTATAAAAGTTGGCTAATTAACAGAGTAAAAAAATATTTTAAAGATAAGAACTAAAGCAAAATTTACTATATATTCAATTATTGTATTAGACTGATTAATTATATTATGCATAGGACTATACCTAGATATAGAATCAAAAGCATCAGCTTTCATGAGTAATTAGAAAATATTAATGGCTCTGTGGATTCATGCAGATGGACTGGCACACATACATTTGGCCACATACTATTCTACCACAAATGCCCAAACATTTATTTTTAAAGTAATAATGCAAAATTGAGTGTATGTTAGATTAATAGGGTGACTATAGTCAACAACAATCTATTGTACATTTCAAAATAGCCAGAAGGGAATAATTAAAATATTCCTAGCATACAGAAAAGACAAATATTTATGGTGATAGATAGACAAAATATTTATGGTGATGGATATCCCAGTTACTCTGATTTGATCTTTACACATTATATGAACATATCAAAATACCACATGTACTCTGCAAATATGTACACCTATTATGTATCAATCAGTTTTTTAAATTTAAAATAGAAAGTAAAACAAATAAATTAAAAATTGATATAAAAATATAATTAGAAAGAATAAAGCAAACACAATTATTCTGGAAGCATAATGAGGGCTGCAATTATTGTCTGTTTTATGCCCTGCTATTTCCCCAGTGACTACAACAATGCCTGGTTCATAATAGGTGCTCAAATATATGTTGAATAAATGAATGGGTATATTCCTTCTGAATATTAAAGTTATCATCTTGACTTAATGCCTTTCTCTAAGAAGATCAAAGCCAGGCAGTTTGCAGAATTTTCTCATTTATTCTTGATGTAATGCAGAGAGAGTAATTGTTTTGCAACTATTTCTCAAGTGCAAGTTACTGGCTAATTAGTATTAAACCTTTTAGAACCATATTTATACAACAAACTTCATTATATTTGAAGTACTGAAATGTGTTTTAAATGTGATAAAACCATTTTTATTACTGTGCTGCATATGTTAACCTACAGCAAATGAAACTTAGAAATTTTATAAGAGTAAAAAGAAGGTAACAAGTAACAGAAGCTAACATTTACCTAATGTTGTAGCTATATGATTTGAAAATAAGTATTTGAAAATATTCTTAGAACCATCATATAAGATGAATAAAACAGGCATCTTATCGTAGTCCTATAGACGGTAAAACTGAGACACCAACAATCTATTCCTTATCTGAACTTAGAGAACAAATTAGCAGCAGTGCTATTATCACACTATCTTTATTCCAAATTTGTAAATTGAGTGTAATAAAAACAAACCATATGAACTGAGCTAAGTATTAATAATATTCCTTTTTCCTTAAGCTCTGAACTGATGATCTTTTCTCAGAAAAATACTTAGGTAACGAAGAAAATGAATTTGAATTCCTTTCCTTTGGGCCTTTCATCTGTTGAGGGCATAAACATTACAGGTGATTGTTCTATTTGCTTAAAATAGCCATCTTTTATAACAGTTCTAATAAAGGCAGTAACCTACTTGCAGAGTCTCACAGCCAACTTTTGAACAATTAAGCAGGAAAAGTATCTAAATTTTTAGATCCAATAAAACCTTTCATTAGAAAAGGCTTTATCTTACTATAGTTTTACCTACAACACAAATTAAATTATTATTCCTGTTTAAACAGAAACACATTGTGTTCCTACCTCACTGTAGCAAAAATCTACAATGTGGTTGTTATAATACCAGCACACCACCAAAACATTGTTATAACTAAAATACAGCCTTTATGCTTTCAATTACATCACTCTACAATAGACCCCAGTTGCCAGTAGAATAATGTCTATAAATTCCTTAGCGTAGCTCCTAAAGTCCTGTAATTGAGGAAGGGGTTCACAGAAGCAAACATGGCAACTATTCATGTCCAACCATTCCCTTCCCTAAGGTGGGGAAGGTCAGGTGTAGGGAACAGACCAGATAAAGAAAACTCTGACTCAAATATGCCCAAAAGGTTGTCAGAATAGTGAGAGCATATTTTCGAAAGTTTCCTAGGTAATCCTGACATGATCCTTAATTGAAAGCCACTGATAAAATGTCATC